AAGCTGTTATACATTTATGATTAATAAAATAATTCTACAGGAAAACAAAATTTTAGAGGATAAAACATCGTGGGTTCTTAAAAGTTAAACCAGCTGCACTGGTACTAAAATAAACCTGGCTTTTGTACAATGGAGGTAGCTTTTTTGAAATATTCAGTTGCATCTATATAAGCAGCCACTGGGATAGGTCCACACTATAGCTGTTGAAGAGACAACATTAATTTCAGAGTTTAATGCACGGATAAAAGTTTAAAAAATTTAAAAATCAGGTAAACAGTTTTGGGAGGTGTGAGTCATACAGTATCAAATTGGAGAGCTAACCCCAGGGAGGTTTCGAAACAAGAGCATGGACCCCTGTGCAGGCTGTGCACCGAGAGAGCTGACCCCTGCAAGCTGTCCACTGTGAATAGTGTTCTCCTGGCACAGACTTCCAGCGAAGCAAACAGACCTCCTTACAAGTGGGTCCAGCACTGCCCTGATATACTAGCCCAGAGCAAACCAGCTATCTAGGCCATTAAAACATCAAGTGTGAAAACAGAATAGGAAAAACTTCAACCACAAACCTTAAACAACCAACAAACAAAAACACCCGCCCATTCTGTGGTTACACAGCCATGGCTAATGCTGATTTAATAAACTTTGGAAGGGGGAGCAAACAACACACATCCACCTTCCACAGAGAAGCTCACTATGAGAGTGGAACCATGCATTACTCAGAGAAACCGTAGAACAAACAGTACTGATTCCAAAGGCTGAGCTGAATAGGCCACTTTAGCCCATGAAATATAAGGAGAAATTAGAGAAACAACCTTAATTTCAACCTTAGCTTATGTGTGCATCATTATTTCTTCCTCCTCATCTCATCCTACACACACTGATTTTTTTTTTTAAACTATTTCCATTTATTTTTGACCATATTTTCTCTGCATGTCCTTTAGGTAAGATTCCCTCACTGGCCACAGTGGCTTCAGACCATGTCTGCTACTTCCATTCATCGAGCACACATATTTTCTTTTGTGTGTGTGTGTGTGTGTGTGTGTGTGTGTGTGTGTGAGTGTGTGTGTGAGTGTATGCCAGAGATCAATCCTGAGTGTCTTCCTCAACCGTTCTCCATCTTCATTCATGAGGCAGGGCCTCTCACTAAACCTGAACTCACCACTCTGGCTAGGGTGGTTGGCCAACAGGCTCCAAGGATCTACCTTTCTCTGCCTGCCCAACAAATTGCTAGTCACTGTGCAGGCTTTTTATGTAGGTGCTAAGTATCCAAACTCAGGTATAACCAAGCCACCCATCCCTAGCACGACCCATCTCTTTCTTTAAGAACTAGTGTCATTCAGGAAATTATCTTTTATTTTCCTGTCCTTCTCTCCTCCTCCCTCCCTTCCTTGCTTGGTTTTCTATTTTTCTGCCATACTAATATTTTAAAAAAATGTAGTTGTTGGAGTTGTAAATGCACAGTCCTTCCTCTATGAAAATCTGTATAGTGTGGTGTGATAATCAGGGGTGGGTTTCAAATCCTAGCTCTGTTACTTATTAGCCAAGTCACTTTGGGTTGGTTAACATTTTAATTTTATTTATTTTTTATACATTTATTTTTTTTTTATTTTATGTGTATGAGTGTTTTGCCTGCATGTATATAGTGCACTTGTGCGTGCAATTCCTGTAGAGGCTAGATGAAGGTATGGGATCTCCTGAAACTGGAGTTAAACATGCTTGTTAGCTGCCATGTGGTTGCTGGGACTTGAACCCAGGTCTTCAGTGTTCTTGACTTCTAAGCCATCTCTCCAGTCCCTATTATACCTATTTGTGTGTGTGTATGTGTGTGTGTGTGTGTGCAGTTCAGAGAACAACTTTCAGAAGTTGGTTTTCTTCTTCTACCATTGTTCCAGGGGTCCAACTCAGGCTATCAGGTTTGCACAGCAAGTGCTTTTATTCACTGAGCCATCTCTCTGGTCTAGGTTGGTTAACATTCTGAGCCGCAGTCTGCTCATCTTTAAAATATTTATTCATTATACTGCTAACTTCTTGGACTCCTTCTGATGGTCAAATTCATATAAATTTCTTAGCACACTGCACAGTAAATACTAGACACAACTTTTATAGTCTGTGTACCCACAGTGACAGATACTTATATTAGAAATCTGACCCACAACCAAACGAGCTGTTGCTTTTTCTTACATTCAGACAAGTTTCTTGTGTGCTACCACTGTATGATAGATCCCAACTGGTTTCCCATAAAATAAAACAGCAGTCTTTTCTACAAAGCCAACTTAAAGTTAGAGCGCTACACTGACGACTTGTTTACATTTAAATAATTCCAACTTTCCTCCCAGCTCCAGAAAGCTGTCAGAATGAGGTCCGTTTCCTGTATAATCTATTCTTTCAACTAATCCTCTGCAGGGACTACACCCAGTAGAAGTGGGCCTGTCTGGTAAAATGCTATGCAAGACTCAAGAGCATCAGAGGCTGGGCATGCTGGCTCTTGTCTCTAATCCCAGCACTCTAGAGGTGGAGACAGGAGGATCATGCTTGAGGTCAGTCTAAGATACATATATGGAGTTCTAGGCCAGCCTGAATTACATAGAGAGATTCCACTCCCCCTCAAAAAATAATGTCTTAGTTACTTTTCCTGTTGCTCTGATAAAATATCTGAACAAAAGCAACTT